TTCAATTTTCAAATATTTGAGATTCTCCAGATATTTTTCTGTCAATAATTTGAAGTTTAATCCTGTTATGGTACAAGAAATACTTACATAATTTAGTTATTTAAATGTTTTGTGGGGGGGGCGGGGTTGTGTGTGTGTGAATATGGCATATCTTGGTGAATGTTCTATATATCCTTGACAAGAATGTGCATTCTGCTGTTGTTAAATGTAGTATTCTATAAATATCAATTAGTTCAAGTTGGTTGATAGTTTTTTCAAGTCTTCTATATCCTTACTGATTTTCTCTTTATTTGTACTATTACTGAGAGTTAAGTGTTACCAGAGATTTTCCTCTCTCTTCTTTTACTTCTATTGGTTTGTTTCATGTATTTTAAAACTCTGTTCTAAGAAGCATATACATTTAAAATTATTATGTCTTCCTGCGTAATGACTCCTCTGTCATATGTAATGTCTTTTGTTATCCTTAGAAATATTCTTTGTTCCAAAGTCCATTTTGTCTAATATTAATAGAGCTACTCTGGCTTTTTAAAATAGCTGTTTACATAAACAATCTTTTTCCATCCTTTTGCTTTTATTTTATTTAAGTCTTTATATTTAAAGTGGATTTCTTATAGATAGCAAATGGTTGGGTTTCGCTTTTATATTTAGACTACTGTCATTTATGTCAGTAGTTGTACAGTTGGATTAAAATCTACCATCTTGTTAGATGTTTTCTATTTGTTGGTCTTCTTTTGTACTCTTTTTCTGTATATTTTATGACTCTATTTTATCTCTACTACTGGCTTATAACTTTACCTTTTAAGTTTTTAGTGGTTATTTTTGGTTGACAATATATATCTTTAATTAAGCAAAGTCTACCAAAAAATAATATTGTGGTGCTTCAAATATAGTATAAGGACCTTATACTGTACTTTCTTCCCTCCCATCTTTTGTAGTATTGTTGTCATACATTTTACTCGTACATATGCTATAAACATACAGTACATTGCTACTACTTTCGTGTTAAATCAGGGATGTCAATCTATAGCCCATGGGCCAAATCTAGCCTGCCACCTGTTTTCATAAATAAGGTGTTATTAGAACACAGCTACACTCCATGGTTTATGTATTGTCTATGGCTACTTTTACACAATAATGGCAGAGTTAAGTAGCTGCAAAACAGATTTTATGGTCCACAAAGCCTAAAATATTTACTATCTGGATTGTTACAGAAAAATTTGCAAATGTCTATTTTAGACAGTCTGTTATGTTTTTGAGCAATAAAAAGCAAGATAAAAGTATTTTTTATATTTACCTTTATTTCATTTCCAGCACTCTCTATTTTTTTTGTATATCCAAGTTCTGTCTGGTATCATGCTTTTTGCCTGAAGAGCTCCCCTTAACATTTTTTTCTTTTGTAATGCTGGTCTGCTGGCAACGAATTCTCTCAGTTTTTGCTTTTCTAAGAAAGTCTATACCTTCTTTTACGATTGAGGTAAAATTCACATAACAAAAATTTAAACGTCAACCATTTTAAAGTGTACAATTCAGTGACATTTAGTAGATTTACAGTGTAGTGCAATCATCACTTCTATCTAGTTCCAAGACATTTTCGTCACTCCAAAATGAAACTTCGTACCCATTAAGCAGTCACTTCCACCCACACCCCAGCTTCTGGCAAGCACCAGTCTTTCTGTCTCTGTGGATTTATCTATTCTGGATGTTTCATATAAATGTAGTCATACAATAGGTGACATTTTGTGTCTGGCTTCTTTCACTTAGCATAATGCTTTTGAGGTTCATCTGTGTCGTGACATGTATCAGTACTTCACTCCTTTTTCATGGGTGAATAACATTCCATTGTATGGATATATTACATTTTGTTTATTCATTCATCAACTGTTTCCACCTTTTGATTATTGTTAATAGTGCTGCACTAAACATTTATTATCAAGTATTTGAGTCCCTGTTTTTTAATGATTTTGGGTATGCCTATGTGCGGAATTCCTGCGTCGTATGGTAATTCTATTTTTCTCTTTTTGAGGAACTGTCAATATGATTACTACAGCATGGCACCATTTTACATTCTCACCAGCAACGTACAAGGGTTCCAATTTCTCTGCATCCTTGGCAACACTCGTTATTTTCTGATTATTATTTTTTATTATTATGGCCAACCTAGTTGGTGTGAAGTTGTATCTCATTGTAGTTTTGATTTGCATTTCTCTTATGACTAATGACGTTGAGCATCTTTTTGTGTGCTTGTTTGTCATTTGTATATCTTCTTTTGAGAAATGTCTATTCAACATTTTGGTTCACTTTTAAATTTGAGTTCTTTTTGTTATATATATATATATTCTGGATACTTAACTCTTATATATATGGTTTGCAAATATTTTCTCCCATTCTGCATGTTGTCTTTTTATTCTCTTGACAATGTCCTTTGATGCAGCAAATGTTAAGTTTTGATGAAGTCAAATGTATCTATTTTTTTCTTTGGCTGCTTGTGGTTTTGGTGATATATCTAGGAAACCATTTCCAAGTCAATGTCATTGAATATTTACCCTTATGCTTTTTTCTAAGAGTTCTATAGTTTTAGCCGTTATAGTTAGATCTTGGATCCATTTAGGGTTAATTTTTGTGTATGGCGTGAAGTAAGAAGAGTTCATCGTCATTTTGTCATTTGTGGCTATCCAATTTTCTTAACATCATTTGTCGAAAAGACGTGGTTTTTTCCCCCACATTGAATGGCCTGGCACCCTTGTTGAAAGTCAATTGCATAGATGTGAAGGTTTCTTTCTAGACTCTCCATTTGATTCTGGATATATATATATATATCCTTATGCTGATACCACACTGTTTTGACTCCTGTAGTTTGCAGTAAATTTTGAAATTGGGAGGTGTGACTCCAACTTTGTTCTTTTTCAAGATTGATTTGGCTATTTGGGGTCTCTTGAAATTTCATATGTATTTGAGAATCCGTAATATTGGTGTCATACATTTTCCATTTCTGAAAAAAAGGCCGTTGGGATTTTGATAGGGTCTGCATTGAATCTGTAGATAACTGTGGGGGAGTATGCCATCTTTGTAATAGTAAATCTTCCAATCCATGAATATGAAATGTCTTTTCATTTATTTAGTCTTCTTAATTTCTTTCAGCCGTATTTTGTGTTTTTCAGTCTTGCATCTCCTTGGTTAAATTTGTTCCCAAGTATTTTATTCATTTCAATCCTATCGCAAATAATTTTTTTTTTAATTTACTTTTTGGATTACCTATTGCTAGCGTATAGGAATACAATCGAGTCTTTTGTGTTGATATTGTATCCTGCAACTTTGCTGACTTCAGTTATTAGCTCTAATAGGGTTTTTTTGTTTTTGTTTTTGTAGATTCTTTAGGATTTTTCTATATGTGGGAATCATGTCATCTGTGAATAGAGTGTGTTTTACGTTTCTTTTTTAATTTGGATGCCTTTTATTTCTTTTTCCTCATGATCGCTTTGGCTAGAACGTCCAGTACGATGTTGAATAGAAGTGGTAAAAACGGCGTCCTTGTCTTTTTCCTGATCTGAGGGAAGTAAAGCTTTTAATCCTTCACCACTGAGTTAGCTATGAATTTTTTATATAGACATTTAATCATATTAAGGATGTTGCCTTTTATTCCCAGTTTGTCTGGTGTTCTATCACGACAGCATGTTAGATTTTTGTCAAAGGCTTTTTTTGCACCAATTGAGATGATCATGTGGGATTTTTTTTCATTTTATTAATCTGGTGTATTAGATTGATTTTTATTGAACCCTGTTTGCATTTCTGGAATAAATCCCACTTGGTCATATGTGTAATTATTTTAATGTGCAGTTGGATTTGATTTGCTGGTATTTTGTAGAGTGTGTTTGCATCTATATTTGTAAAAGATATTGGTCTAGTTTTCTTTCCTGTGATATCTTTGTCTGCCTTAGTGTCAAGGTAATACTGGCCTCACAGAACGAGTTGAAAGATGTTCCCTTATCTCCTGTTTTTTGAATGAGTTAGAGAAGAATTGGGATTCATTGTTTTTTAAACATTTGGTAGAACCCACCAGTGAAGCTATCTGGTCTTGGGCATTTCTTTGTTGGGAGGTTTTTTATTATTATTTAATCTTTTTGCTAGTTATAGATCTATTGAGATTTTTTTTTTTAAGTCAGTTTTTGTTGGAATTCATGATTGCTACAGGTCCAAAAACTTTCCTGAAAAAAAAAATGTATACGTGAAAAACATCTCAGTACAAGGAAAGAATGATCATTTTCCTGGATCAATGTTATGTTGGGATTTTTTAGTTTCAGGAAGTGACTTTACAATCATGTTATTTAGAAACAAGAAAGGAAATACTAAGAGAATTAACTAAAAGGAGTAAAAACAATTGCCTCCAGGAAAGGAAGGGCAGAAGAATGCTATTTTTTTTTTCTTAAGAAATATAGCAGCACAATTAGACTCTTCGTTTAAATAAATAAGTAAGTAACTTTATCCACAAAAAGACAGTTCTACAACCAGGCTGCCTGGATCCAAATTCCACTTCCGCCATTTGGAAACGATAACCGTGGGCAAGTTTAAGCGTATGATCTCTCTGAACCTCAGTTTTCCCATCTGTGAAATGGAAATGATAACAGTACCTACCACATTAAGTTTTTGTGGGGACCAAAGGAGATCATGGATGTCAAGGGCTTGGCTAGTGAGTGTCCTATAAATGGAAGCTTCTTGCTGCTATTACCAGGCCCTCCCAGACCAACCCCCTTTTGGCATAGCCAAAGCCACCCGGCCACTCTGAAGAACCCCATTTGTGCTACTGCCTGACTGACCGCTTGACCTTGGGAGTGTCTCCTGACAGAACCCTTCGGAGGTGGCTTCAGAAGGGCCCCAAACTTCTCCCCCAGGCTCAGGCTGGCCCCTGACTCCCAACTCCTCCCCCTGGGGGTCATGGCTTTGTTTTCTTCTAAAGACCCAAGATTTCCAAACTCTGTGGTTGCCTTGCTAGCTAAAAGGGGAAGAAGGGGATCAGCACAAGGAGGAGGAGGAGGAGGAAGAAGAGGGAAACAAGACAAATAGTCGGTGCGGCGAGAGGAACTTGTCCAGGCAGCGTTCCTGGTCCCTGCAAAGTGAGAAGCTGGGAGACCCAGTGCCTGCCCAGCCCCCAGCCCTGCATCAGCCTGCCGCCTCCCCAGCGAGGCCATGGGCCCAGGGGCTCTACTGGTCCTGCTCGTGGCCACAGCTTGGCATGGTAAGAGCAGAACTGAGGGCCCTGGGCGCGGGTTGGGGGAGATGTGACGGAGAGGGTCCCTGTGTAAGGATTCCATAAGTTCCTGCCCCTCACTGCGTTTCTGTTTCCTCAGCCTGGACGGCAGGTTTGTGGCTATCCGCTCTGGAGAGGCAGTGGAGGGAAAAGAGGGTGTGAGTGGGGTGGAGGCTGCCCAGCTAGGGCTGCGGATAAGTTTCAGCTCTGATGTTGACTTACTGAGTGTGTCCTGAACAAGCCCCTGTTGCTCTCAGGGTTTCAGTGTCCACATGCATTCAACAGTAGGCAGTGGGGGTGGTGAGGGACTCGACCAAAGCAAAGCTCTTCAAATTTTATTGTGCACACAGATTACCTGGGTATCTTACTACGGTGCAGATTCTGACTCAGAAGGTTTCAGGTGCTACCTGAGATTCTGCATTTCTAACAAGCTCCTAAAAGACGCCAGTGCTGCTGGTCCATAGCTACACTGAGTAGGGAGGCCGCACAGAGCCCTGAGGGCTCTGCCAGCTCACTGATTATTGGCAGGACCTGACTTGGAAAGGCCCCAAGGGGCAGTGGTCCTTCCATGGGGACTTGGGTGAGGAGTTGGAAGGAGAGATAAGAGGTGAGCGAGTGGGGCTGCGGGGGTCTTGCTGTGAGGAGTCTGGGGATGGAGTCGAGCACCCTAGATGGGGAGAGGCTTATGAAGATCCTTGGCTGAGGAGGGGCTGTGTCCCAGGCCAGAGTGTGTGTGTTAGGGGAGAGGAGTGGAGGTTGAGGGATGTCCTGGTAGCTGATGATGGAGGGGTCTTTCAAGTAAGTGGGAGGCAAGGAGGTTTGGGGCATGGAGAGAATTGGGGAGCTGAGATGAGAGGGTGAAAACTGGATAGGCACAGAGAGGGGCTTGGTCAGGGTTCACCATGCCCCAGCGCCCACTGCAGGGAAGACGAGTCCCGAGCAGGCTTTCCCCGCCTGCCAGTGCCGGGGAAACTGGGGGTGGAAGTTGAGGGTGTCCGTCTTGTCCTGCGTGAATATCTGAGGCAACAGGACACAACAAAATAGAACAGACGTCTCTCTCTGACCACATTTCCAGGAGGCCAAGGCAGGGGCTAGAGGGACAGGGCAGGGGAGGGGAGGGAGAGGCTCCTGTGAAACCAAGTGGGTACAGAAACGGAACACAGAATCCAAGACCGTGTGATGTTATAGTCGCAGACTCTGACCTTTGAAAGTTAAAAACTTTAGATATCAGGATGTCAGGATCAGAACGGAGGTTAGAAATGTGGCGACTGAAGCAGTATCCCAGGGCAGGAGCAGATGATGGAGCTAGGTGATGAGCTGTGTGTCTCCTCACTGAATCCTCTCAGGATGTCTCAGAGGTGGGAACACGGATTATGTCACTGGACGAGAGGGTAGCCTAAGCGTCACAGAAGTGAAGGCACCTACCCAGCCTATAAGGGAGAACCAAGGTTCAGACTCACATTGGTATGACCCCACAGTCTAAACGCCTCTCTGCAGTAACACCCCTGGGGCCCACATCACTACAGCTGTAATAGGGCAGTGCCAGCTCTATTTGCAGACAGCCCACCTGAAATGACGCTGCTCCCCTCCCTGATGGTCACATTGGCACAGGAGGGCTACAGCCCCGCCTCCCCCCTGTGTTGGCCTTGGCAGAATCCACCAGTTCACTTGATCCTTTATGCCGATCAGAAGCTCAGGTAGAGAGGCTACACACCTTTGATGGGTACGAAATAAAAACATAAGTTAAGCCCTCTTGTAATCATTTGACAGAGATCTTTCTGACTCTGGGGTCGATGGTGGTGGCGGGATGAATAGATTCGTTTGAGGAGCTTGCATACAGGACAGTGAAGAAGCCCTGAATTCACCCAACGCCCTTGGGGCTGGACGTCCTATCATCAGAACCAAGGGGTCGCACTCGCCGGGATACCATGTGGGTCAGTGGCAGACAGAGCCAGGCCCCGCAGCCCAGGGTGTTCTGATGCCCAGAAGATGGCACTTCCTTTCCTGGGAATCTCTCCCTCAAAGAGGGGACAGTGGTCAGGAGGGTCAGGAAGCAGAAGTGAGAGCATCCCAGGGAGAAGGGCCGCGAGCAGAACGGAAACGGGGGCCAGGCTGGGCGCCAGCAATGTGTTTCCGCCCACACAGGCCAAGGCGCCTGGCGGCCCCTCCAAGGCCTTGAATCAGCTCTCACTTCCCTCCTGAGCCCCTATTTTAGGCCCTGGAAAAATGCTGACTCTGCAGAGGCAACGGGTCTTCTTCCCGGAGGACCGAATATGGGTTTCAAGTCCTCTTTTCTCCTTCACAAAAATTTTCCTTAAAAGAGGTTGGCTCTCCAGTAAAGAAAGCAGTGCTGGGGTGTCAGGGTGGGCTGCTGGGGTGTCAGGGTGGGGTGCTGGGGTAGACGAGATAATAAATGTAATGGCTAACGCTTACTGAGTATTTATTTGGTGGCAGGTGATGTTCTAAAGGCTTTCCATGTATTTAAATGTCCTGACATCTCAATAAATGGGTATAATTCTTGTCTTCATTTCATAGGGAGGATTTTGAGGCACAGAGACTCTGAAACACCCACTGTGCTACAGACTGACGATGGGGGCGGGCACAGTAGGGCCTTTCTAATTCTGCAGGGCCAAGATCCTACACCTCTTTTCTCCTTCCCCATATGAATTAAGTTGAATGACTTTGCTATGAACATTCCATTCATCTGTCTCTTCCTTTGCTTGTTCAAGCCCCTGCTTTGAACCAGGCCCTGGGCTCCCACACTAAGGATGCAGCCTACTTCAGGAGGCTGAAAGAATCTACTCCTGGGGAGAGGAATGATGTTCTCACAGCTGGGAAGACTGAGGCAGGGGGCAGGGGAGCCTCCTGTGGGGCAGTGGCCAGGTGGGAGGCTGAGAAAGCTCCCAGCCCCTTTCTCAGAGGAGGGGCCTGCTGGGCATCGGAGACTTCAGTCCATCCCTGAGCAGGTTTGGGATGGGGGGCTGAGCAAATGACCAGAAAGGTGCAGGGACTTGTTAAAGGTGCAAGTCACAGCTGAACCCTAGCACCAGCATCACCCCTGCCAGGACACCACCCATCTCAGCGGCAGGGAATGGCCCAGAGAGCATCGCCTCAGACCTCACATCTGTCTGCTCTTTGCCCCTCACCAGCTCAAGGGGTACCGGTGATAGAACCCAGTGGCCCTGAGCTGGTCGTGAAGCCAGGCACGACAGTGACCCTGCGATGTGTGGGCAATGGCAGCGTGGAATGGGATGGCCCCCTCTCCTCCCCATACTGGACCCTGGGCCTTGAGGGCCTTAGCAGCATCCTGACCACAAACAACGCCACCTTCCAGAACACTGGGACTTATCGCTGCACTGAGCCTGGAGACCCCTTGGGGGGCAACGCCACCATCCACCTCTATGTCAAAGGTGAGGAATCTGGGCCCATACCCAAGAGGCCTGGCCCAGCAGGCCCCGCTAGGAATGGGCAGGAGGGCTGGGCCTTAATATTACCAACCATGAAAAACTGGGTCCACATTTACTGAGTGCCTGCCGTGAACAAGGAACTGTGGCTGTGCTCCTAATTTAAAGTGTCCTGACAATAACCCTGTGAGGTAAGTTCCATGGTTATGCCCATTTTCCAGAGGCTCAGAGGGGTCGAATCATTTGCTCAAGGTCACACAGCATCAAATAGTGAGACTGGACCTGGCTCCAGAGCCCACACTCTGAAGCATCCACTGAGCTTCCCTGGTATTGTGTGACCTCAGGCAAATGATCGGCATATCTGAGCCTCTCTATCACCAAAGTCCAGAGACCATCTGGCCTGGGGGAGGGAGGGCAGTTGTGACCCTGTATCCCCCTCTTCCCCAGACCCTGCTCGGCCCTGGAATGTGCTGGCCGAAGAAGTGACAGTGTTCGAGGGTCAGGATGCGCTGGTGCCCTGCCTACTCACTGATCCGGAGCTGGAGGCGGGAGTCTCACTGGTGCGGGTGCGTAACCGGCCTGTCTTGCGCCAAACCAACTATTCCTTCTCACCCTGGCATGGCTTCACCATCCACAAGGCCAAGTTCATTGAGAGTCATGACTACCAATGCAGCGCTCAAGTAGCTGGCAGGACGGTGACAACGAATGGCATCCGGCTTACTGTGCAGAAAGGTGCGTGGGGCAGGGATGGGCCGACCAGATGTCGAGGGCAGGGACAGAGGGCTGGCAGCCACGCGCATGGCGGTGGGGCCCGGACCTCCTGGGAGATAACGAGTGTCCCTCTTCTTTTGTTTCTTCCTTCCAATTACGCCACAGTCATCTTGTCCTACTGTGGCAGGACAAGTCCGGTATGTGGGCAGGGAGACAGACCACATGCAAAAAAATAACTCGATGGACAGAATCACCTCGGATTATGACACATGCTAGGAAAGCCATTAAACGAGGTGATGGCGTCGAGTGCGTGGGGACAGGGAGTGGGGGAGCCTTGCTGAGAGAGCGAGTGACGAGAAAGAGGTGGCCCTGCAAAGATATCCTTCAGCGGAGGAAACAGCAGGTGCAAAGCCGGGAGGCGGGAAGAGGCTCCGGATGTTCTCCCACACTCTCAGAGGCGGGTTTCCCACGCGGTGCCAGCCTGGTGCTGGGCCCTGGGCACGTGAAGGTGGGGTGGTCAGCCAAGTGACAGGGAGGCGGGGGTGGCCATGTGAGACGCCCTCACCGTGGGCGGACATGGGGAGCAGGGGTGGCGCGGTCTTGCTCCTTTTCCCGCTTGCCCCTGCTGGGCTGGTGGACAGGATTCTGGTTTCTGGAAGGGCTGATACGGAAGGAGGCCCCAGGCTCAGGACCTGGGCTTGAGACGAGAATTAGGTCCCTCTAATGAAGTCAGAGCAGCTTGGGCTTGAGGCCACGAAACCCGCCAAGGAAGTGAAAAAACCCCACTCTGAGGGCAGAAGAGGCCATGGGGGCGTTTTCCCCGAACTTCATCCCGCAGGGCTCTGGGCTGCCCCGGGCCCTGGTTCTGCTATGACGCCCTCGGTGACCTTGGATGAGCTCTTTAGTGTCTCTGGACCTTGGGAAACTGGTTTAGATCGTCTTTCGACCACAGCAACAGCCACAAATATTAATTGAGTGCCTACTACACGCGAGGCACTGGGCTAGCTGCTGGGGACAGCGCCATCATAGATTTGCCACCCTACTTGGCAAGACGGACTAGAGAGAAAGTAAATAACATACCAGTTGTGACTAACAGGAAACCCAGGCGGAGAAAGCTGGATATGTGCGTGTGTATGTTTGGGATTGAGGGGAGGTGTGAGGCTAATTCAGCTAAACTGGTCACAGAAGGCCTCTCTGAGGAACATTTGAGTGAAAGAGCTGAAGGGTGAGAACAGGCACTCATTCAAAGTGTGGGAGAGGGAGCATTCCAGGAGCAAGGGGCCAGTGCAGGGCTCTGCCGTGCGAAGGCCAGGGTGGCTGCAGTGCGGTGAGCGTAGGATGGCAGGTGTTCAGCTGGTCAGTAACAGGGCCTGGGGATGTGGGAAAGACTTTGGCTTTTATTTTGAGAGTGAAGGGAAGCCACTAAATTGAATATTGGCACAAGAGAGAGAGTCATGATCCGATTTACCTTCTTAAGAGCTCGCTTGGGCTGCTCTGAGGGGTCCAGGTGGGGTTGGAGGCAAAGCAGGGAGGCCTTCCAGGAGCCCAGAGCAGAGGTTGGTTCTGAGACTGGGGAGAGGCGGTGGTGGTGGAGGGAAGCGGACTTTTCAATGTCTATTTGGGAGACGAGACTTACTGTGGGGAAAATTGAGGCATTGATGGTGCCTCCCAGGATTTGGGATGGGAGCGTAGTGGGGACCCACGGTAGAGAGCAGAGCAATAGCTCTGGCCTGAGTGTTCATGGGTCCCTTCCCCTGGCTTCAGTCATTCCAGGGCCCCCAAATGTGACCCTGGAGCCTGCAGAGCTAGTGCGGATTCGTGGTGAGGCCGCCCAGATTGTGTGCTCAGCCAGGAACATTGGTGTCAACTTTGATGTCTCTCTCCAACGAGGAAACACTAAGGTCAGTCCCTGGGGAGACAGCAGGGTAAAGTCTTCTCAACCTGCCAGTACACCAGGCTCTGCAGGATGAAGCCCCCAGCCTCCCAAGCTGGCTCTCTAGGCAGGTCCAGAGAAGGGGGCAGACTCACCAGGGACATCGCTGCCAGTCAGGAGCTGGTCCAAAACCATGTCTCAGGCTCATGCCACTGAAGCTTGTGGGGTCAGGTAGAGGAAATAGTACTCTACCCCTTTTACCCATGACCTTTGCCCCAGCCTGTAGACAAGAGCCAGGTGTCTGCTCACTTCTGACTTAGCAAGGTGTTCCTAGGCCACCTTTGAAGCTCAGGGCTATCAGGCTATTTCACAAAGACCGATACGGAGGGAGGAAAGGAGAGTGTCCCCAGGAGGGAATGGCATTAGGCTGCTTCTGAGAACCCTCTCCCCTCCCACTGTGCCTACTGTGTGCCAGGCATAGCCCTATGCCATTTGCATGCAATGTCTTATTTACTCTTTACGGCAGCCCTAGGAGCATGGGGCCAGTATTAGTCATATTTTACAGATAAAGAAACTGAGGCTCAGAAGTCAATCCCTCATCCAAGGAAAGGCTGAGGATTTGAAGCTAAACCTTTTAAATCCCTAAACAACTTTGGTATACCATTTCCATTCCTTCTGGTTGTAGCTCACAATCTCTAAACACTCTGACTTCCATGATAACCATTACCAAAAAGTCCTGACCCTCAACCTCGATCAAGTAGGCTTCCAAGATGCCGGCAACTACTCCTGTGTGGCCAAAAACGCCCAGGGCATCCACTCCACCTCCATGGTCTTCCGGGTGGTAGGTGAGCATCAGGGTGGTGGGGGAGGTTGGCAGGGATTCTGGGATGAGGGAGGTACGTAACAGGATTGAGAAGGAGGGAGCTGATAGAAGAGAAGAAGATATCGTTAAGAATATCTCTGCTCGAATTCCCTGATCCTAGGCCTGGCTAGGGAGCCAAGTCTCTGGGACCCTTCCCTGATCCTCCCCTAGAACCCCTCTATCCCTCCTTGGAGTTCCTATAGTGCATTGCTGCATTTTTTTTTAGCATCGTTTTGTTCTGTTTTGGGATCGATGTTTAGTAGCTCCCTTCTGGACTTCACTGTTCATTCATTCACTCATTCATTTTTGCCTAAGACATTCGTGTCGCTTAAACATGTGAACAGACAGTGCTCACCCAGTGTGATCATGAGGGAAGAACGGGGTGTCCCGAGAACACCAAGGAGACTTGGGGCCTCTGGAGCTGATCTCTTCCACTTTTCCTCCTCAGATCCCCCAGAGTAGCTTGACTTTCATTTATGCACATTTTAATTAGGAGAAGCTAGTCAGGGCTCTTTCAGGTACAAGTTAACCGAAGCCAACTTAAACTGACCTAATCAAAAGAGTATTTCATTGGCTTTATAGCTAAAATGCCATGGATATGAGCTTCAGGTACAGTTGGATCTAGTTATTCAGATGATGTGGACAAGAATCTGTTCCTTCCCGACTCTCAGCTGTATATTTTTTGTGTGTGTTCCCTAGTTGCACCAGGCACGGTAACCCCAGTGGGATGAGGTCTTCTCTTCCCAGAGTTCCAACAAAAATCATGGAAATGAGTGTCATGGACTCATGGACTCATGTGCCTGTACCAAACCCATCACTGGTCCAAAGGGGACACATTACTCTTATTGGCTGGCCTGAATCACATGCTGGACGTGGACGCCACATTGACTGAACTATTATCAGAGGAAGGGGAAATGGATGGGGGCATGTGAAAAAAAAACAACAGACGTGTTTTTACTGCTAAAATTTTTTTCAAACAGTTATAACTAAAGATGTAGCCAATCTCTTAATTATGCAAATAGGGAGGTGGAGACATCAAGGAGAATAAGAATTTTCCCAGGTTCTCCCAGGGACTCAGTGAGGAGAAGAGTTTGAAGCCCTGGGTTTCTGGGGTAGGTGGTGGGAAGAGAGATGTCAGAGGGCAAATCTTGGTGAGGGATGGGGACTGTGTGCCAGGCACACAGAAGGCACCCAGCAGTGTCCAGCTGAATGACTAAATCAATAGATGGATGACCAAATAAACAAACCAGGACATCTTCCCACTAATGCCAGATCTCTATGTGTTCTGCTTTCCAGACAGTGCTTACTTGAACTTGACCACTGAGCAGAACCTCCTCCAGGAGGTGGCCGTGGGTGAGACACTCAACCTCCAAGTCATAGTAGAGGCCTACCCAGGCCTACAAGTTTTTAACTGGACCTATCTTGGACCCTTCTCTAACCACCAGCCCAAGCTCAATTTTGTCACCATCAAGGATACATACAGGTACCACCTTATCAGCTCCCATCTGCATAGTTCCATAACCAGATGGGGAATGCTTCAGTCAGAAGTCAGGACACTTGGGTCATGTCTCAACCTTGCTGTGTGACCTAGAGTGGGTCCCTTCCCCTTTCTGAGTCTCACTTTCCCTGACTATGTGGAACTTCAATCTCGGTCATCTATATTTGAGATTTCCCACATCCTTGGGACATCCAATGCCTTCCTCAAGAATTCTACCATTTCTTGTGGGTGTACATGCTCATGGTCATCCAAGAACTCTCAATCTCATTCATTCTTTTCTTTCATGGCCAATCCGAATGTAGAAGACAATGCCTCATGATTTCCACTTGTAGATACTCTCCTAATAATGATTTTACAGGTTATCTGCCACACACAATTTAGGAGTGGGAGTAGCTGGAATTAACATCACTCAATCACAGATAAATCAAAAGGTTCCGTAAGGGCGCGTGGTCACCCAGCTCAGAATTTTTCACTGGCCACCCCCTCACAGGCTCAAATTCTTCTCATAAAGTGCTATCTGACTACATCCCTTCTTCTCCCAGAATCCTGCTTTTCCCACATGCGTACCATCTTAGAAATCTCTTTTTCCTGTCTCCTTATGGATTATGTCTTCAAGGTCTTATTTTTCCATCCAAAGTGGCCCAAACAGGCAGTATTCTATTTAAGAGAGTTTCCACTCCTAAGAGGAGCACTGTTACCTCTTTGATAATAAAAGGGGTTAAAATTGTTGGGTTTTTTTTGTTTGTTTGTTTGTTTTTTTACCTTATTCTATTTGAATGAAAGCATACAGCTCCATCGCGGACAGTGAGTATGTGGTGCATGTGATAACTTCCTCTCCCACACTCACGACAGGTATCCCTAAGCCACTTTCCCGCAGAGTCTAGATGTAGACTCAGAGTCCTCGACACACTCTCCAGACAGTATTTTTATCATAATTGGTTCACAAGAGTAGACCCGTTTGCCATCCCTGGGCTAGATAATCCCTTAGACACCTTCCAACTCTCAGCCATCTCCGAGGTTTTCTTTATAGCTCCTGAAGCCCAGACCTCATTGGCTCTTGAACTCTTGTTTGTTGATGATTAGAATCAACAAGGATGTTCCTTTGTCCTCATCTTCCTCATTCCAGTTCTGAATCTGGAGTCTGCAGACCCCTGGGAGGGAGCCTGGTCCATAGACAGATTTCAGGGGTCCATAAGCAACAGGGACCTTGTGGAAAGGAACCAGGGAGAACCCCTCAAACACAGTAGTCTGGGGCCTTCATCGCAAGGCAGACAAGCCTATGGGCCAAATAGCCACCAAACTTAGCTCATGTGATGGGTATGCTGTTCATAATAGTGACTTTTCATTGAAATCTTTCAGTTTAAGAGGTAAATGTTAGTTATTTCAAAAGTTCTGTATGCCAAAGGTCTGAATACCCTTTAAATATAATGGGTTTTAGTCTGGTAGTAGTTGCAGACATTTTCTGAAGAAGAGCTGGTAATTTCCTATAATTTATTTTTTAAAACATTTTTTATTACATAAACAATGCATATTCATTATGGATAAATTTTAAAATAGAGAGTAAGAGAAACATTCAAAAATTACCTAAAATCAGCCAAGGATAAATTTTATTGTATGTATTTGCTTCCAGGCTTTTTACATAATAAAAGGCACCATTAAATTGAGCGCCTACAGTGAGTCAGGTTCCGTGTCAAACACTCTGAATACATATCTCCTTAATCCTCAGGTCCAGTCTGTGAGTTAATTACCATCAATGTTGTCCTCACAGATAAGGAAGTGAAGGATCAGAGAGATTAAGCACTTGTCTAAGGTCACACAGCTAAGAAATGGCAGCACCAGGACTTGACCCCTGGTCTCTGTAACCTCATGGCTACATTCTGCTTCTCATCCCTGTCACAGTCCCTCTGGGCAGGGTTGGAGCTTTAGGGATGGCAGCTGACCTGGATGCTAGCGTTTTCGGCAGGGATGGCTTAGCCCAGCGATGGTGGTGGAAGCAGGCACGTGCGGTGGGGCCTGGGATGTGCCTCCCAGTGGTGGTGCTCTGCAGACATCACCTCCGCTAAACCACAGAACAAAACTGCTTTACAGATAAGACAACCAACTGAGGAAATTGGGTCGATGGTTTTCCCATATCTCAAAGGCATCCACCCTGGGTTCCTGGCTCAGCCAAGGCCCTTGTGCCCTGGACACTTTACCAAAAGTAAAACAAAGCTCTTTAGAGTGGTTGTCTGAGCCCATTGTCCTAGTCAGGGGCATATCTGGGCTGGTGCTCACCCCAGATATCCTGTTCCTCTCACACAGGTACACCTCCACCCTCTACCTGCCTCGCCTGAAGCCCTATGAGGCTGGCCGCTATTCCTTCTGGGCCAGAAACGCCAGAGGCGAGGATGCTCTGACCTTTGAGCTCAGCCTTCAACGTGAGTGATGGAGCGGGGCTTAGGGACGTGGGGTCCCCGGGGCTGCCTGGAGAGAAAAGCTGGGAGGGAAAGTTCAGTGCAAGATGGTCAGGCACGGGGACTTGGGGCCTCTGGGCTAATCCCTCCCTCTTCTACTCTGCCTTCCCTCCTCAGATCCCCCAGAGGTAAGAGTCGCGTGGAACCCCATCAATGGCTCCGATGCCCTGCTCTGTGATGCCTCTGGGTACCCCCAGCCCAATGTGACATGGGTGCAGTGCAGTGGCCATACTGACAGGTAAGTGGGCTCCTCTCACTCCTCACTCAGACTGAGAGGCTGGGGCAGGGGCTGGCATCCTGACACTCGGAGCCCCACTCTGCTCTTCCCAGATGTGACGAGGCCCAAGCACTGGTTTTCGAGGACCCACACCCCGAGATTCTGAGCCAGAAGCCCTTCCACAAGGTGACTGTCCGGAGCCTGCTGGTCACTGGGACCTTGGAACACAACAGGACCTATGAGTGCAGAGCCCGCAACAGTGCGGGGAACAGCTCCCAGGCCTTCTCACACATATCTGTAGGTGAGCAGTCATCTGTCCCTCCAGGTGGGTAGGGAGGAGGGCCCAGGATACTGGCCCAGCTCAGGGAGCCAGAGTTCTAACGTGGAGCAGATCCCAGCGGAACCGAGTCCTACCTCTGTGGGTCCCACTCTAGGCAACTCCTGAGCAAAGTTCTCCCGAAGAAGCCAGATGGGAGAGTCTGAAACTCTCAGGACTAGAGGCAGGGGGAGAAGGGTGGAGGGGAAGCAGACGTGAGGTACAGATAGAAAGCAGCTGGAAGCAAGCACAGCCTAACTGGCCCCTCTGATCATACTCCTGTACTTTAACTCATTCATTAATGCACAATTACACATCTGGTGTCTGCTGTGTGCCAGGCACACTCACTCGACGCAGAGGAGCCGTGCCTCCATGGAGCTTAGAGGCTGGTGAGGGAGGCAGTCAATGACAAGTGCACGCAGTCCTACCCCACCCCAGGGCCAGCCTTGGTGGCCTTCTTCATCCCTCTCTGAATCCCTTCCTACCAGAGACACAGTCTTCTCTTCTCAGGGCCACCGTCCGAGAGTGGAGCTGATGTCCAGCCCCGGGCACTAACATAGGCTACGTTTGCAAAGAGGAAAGGACGCCTTTGTCTGTATTCCACAAAGGCGCTATGTGGGTAGTTCTCAGATTCTGTGCAGAGGCCCACAGCTTCTGACAGGCAGGTCTCAGCACCCCTGCATGCCAGGCCTGGCAAGGCTCTCTGGGCCCAGAGAAGACAAAGCAAGAGCCGCTGCCTGACTTGGAAGTGGCCTTCCGGTGCCCCAGCTGCTGGCCTGGAAGCAAGTGCCGCCAGGGCCCGACTCCACACACAGCTGCCCATGGCTGCGCTCAGTCTCGCTGGTGGTCACAGATTAGAAATGATAAAGCCGGCATGGTATTCAACGCTTGCACCGTGTCAGGAGCTGCGCTAAGCTCTTTGCAGGCATGGTCTCAATGAATGTGCACAAACCGAGAAAGTTAAAACTATTTTCTTTCGACTTTGGAGATGATAAACCTGAGGCTTAGGGAGAAGTTACAGGTTCGATGTCACACACTTCCTACGTGGCCGGTGAGATGTGGCCTCAGACCTACACTGTTGATCTGAGCAAGGTGATGGAAATTATGTCATTTAAAACACATCGTGAGAGCCGGGGTTTTTGATCCAGGAAGAGGAGACCCAGGGGCTGCGAGCCTGGCTTTCAGACCCTCGGGAGGGCTGTGTGTTTCTAAAGGGCACTCACAGAGCAGCAGGGAACGGCCAGGAAGGCAGATTCCCACCTAGTCTTTTTGTTCGAACTACCCAGACGTGTGGTGGTGAGCCCCGTCACCAGTGGTGTGTACAAGCCAAGGCATTAGGACAGGCTGCTGCGGAGGGGCTCCTTGCCTGGCAGGTGTGGTGCTGCGTGACTCGAGCCACAAAAGGCTGTGACTCCTGCGGGTTTGGGGCTGGGCATGAACAGAGCTGGAGGGTCAGTCCTCCCTGCCCCTGGATGAGGAAGGTCTGCGGGAAGGCTCCCTGAGGCTCCGGGGGCTTCTAGGTGAGGGGACACTTTGTTCAGTCGAAGCGTTTATTGAGTACTGACTGTGTTCCGGGCAGAGCACTGGCCTATTCGCAGTGGGGGCGGGGGGACCGTAGAGGCTCCCTCTGCCACTCACTCCTCTGCCTCGCCCTTTCCAGGAGCCAGCATACAGCCCCCTGATGAGCCCCTCTTCACACCAGTGCTTGTCGCCTGTGTGTCCATCATGGCCTTGCTGCTGCTGCTGCTCCTGCTGCTTCTGTACAAGTACAAGCAGGTGAGACTGGGCAGGGCGGGGCAGCCAGGCCTCGCGTGTGCCAGACCACAGGACAGCAACGCCAGGCCACGCAGATCCCCATTTCAGGCCCTGGACACTCACTCGTTCAGTCAGCCAGTCATTCAGCCAACAGCTCTTTAGTGGGTGCTGGGCGGGCTAAAACTTGGAGCTTTAAGCTCTACCCTCGTAGATGTCACTGGCTAGTGCAGGAGACAGTCGCTAATCAATTCACCAGAAGAGTGAGTGCGAAAGATGCTCTAGGGAGACAAATGGATTGTAGGAGAGCGTAAGCATGGATCTTGTCCCGGCCAGAAGCTTGCAGGCACACAGAGAAGACATCGCGGGGCCAGGCCTGTGTCTCACTCTCAGATGGCAGGTGGTCTAGTAGAGGAGGAAGGCCTGGCCATCACCAACCTCTTTGTTGGTTAATATTATTATTCAAAGCTACCATTTATTATTGTGCAGTGATGTTCGGAGTGCTGCCCGTCACAATCAGTGCACCATCAGTGATAGCGATTTTAGGGGCATTTTTTATTAATTGTGTTGCCTACATCCTCCCATTTAATGCCTTCAACAGCCGTGGCACGTACACAGTATCACTAAGTCCATTTTACAGAGTTAAAAGCGGAGGTTCTGGAAGGCTGAGACGGTTGCTCTAGTGTAGAGCTGGTCAGTGGCGGAGGCTGGGTTTTAAAAGGCCATGTTTTTAACCATTATGCAAAACACCTAGTCATCTTATTTAACCTTCACAACACCCGGAGGCAGGGACTGTAGCAGTCAGCATTTCACAGTATGGAGGCTGAGGCTTGGGAAGTTTGAAGACCCTGCCCAAGGGTTCCAGGAGCCTCCCGCACCAGACCCACGGCCTTCCCCACCTGGCCTAGCTGCCTGCCTGCACAAAAGATGGTGTCCGGTGTGATCAGATGCTGAGAGGGCCAGGCCGGAGGGGCTGTGGAGGCCACGGGTGAGGGATCCCTTTCGCTGGCGGGGAAGGGAGACGACTTGGAGGAGGTGGCTTGGCATGGGAGGGAAAAGCCTTAGATGATGGGGGGGTGCAGCATGGAGAGATAAAACTCAGGGGAAGGGTGTCTCCTGGGGAGAGGGCGATGTGTGCGAAGGGTGGGGGAAGACCAAGGTGAGTTCCAGATATACTGGTACCTAGAAGAAGATGCAGGTGGAGATAGGTTGGGGATCCGAGGGTTGAACGCTGTCCTGTAGGCTCAGGGCCGTCCGTGGGTTTGAATAAGGGAGTGATATGATTTAGGGGTGAATAACTTCTACCCCACACCTACCATGGGGGTTTTAGTGTGAGAAAAGGACTTGGAGTAGATAGGACGGATGGGATATGGGTTTGGCTTCTTATGCTCATGCCAGCACCCAGCATGGGGAGGCAGCTCAGCGTGCAGCCCCCAAGAAACCAGGGCCTCAAGGCAAGAATTTGGGGATCTGGGTCCAGCGCCGACCCTGTTTGGCCATATGACCTCAGGTAACTCACTGCCCTCAAAACAGTTTCCCGCCCTGTACCGTGGGACTGGTGGCCTTCAACAGGCCTCCTCCTCTGACATTCCACGCGCCTACTAATGGTCTGGTTTACCAGCCAGGGGTTGCGAGTTGGATGAATCTGGGTCTGAATCCTGCTTCTGCCCATCTCAGGCCAGGAGACTCTGGGAAAGTTGGTGTCTCGAAGCTTCTGTTTCTCCATCCGTGAAACGGTGTTAATAATGGTGGCCACCCCACCAGGCTGTGAGGATTCGT